CAACCGTGCCCCAGGCCCACGCCAGCCGTCTAATGAATCCAGACGGTTACAGCGTTTTCTGGTTCCAGTACCCTGGCGGAACCACCCGCAGCACCCCACATAGTCCCTGAGTCCCTAGATATGCTCCCGCCGCCCCCAACAGCCCCCTCCCCTCGCACCCAGGTGCCTTCGCGGGGTACTGGAACGTGACCCTGATCCCTGAGGGCGCCAGACACCTCCGAGTCACCCAACAGAGCCACCGCAATCACTTGGGTACTGCAGGGTCAGAGGGGGGAGGCGCCCTGCCGGCGGGCGCTGGAACCGGTGGTCCCCTTTACAGCCCAGGGACCCTCCCCCGGAAGGGGAGGCAGGAGAGGCTGTTCCGGAGAGCCTCTACTGACCTTCCCTTGCAGCGCTGATGGGGGGTGACGGGAGCTACGTGCTCAATGGGAACTGGGTCGTAAGCCCACCGGGGACCTACCAGGCGGCCGGCACGCACGTGGTCTACACCCGAGATGAGTCCTCCCAGGAGATGCTGAGTGCAGTGGGACCCACCTCCCAGAACCTGATCCTGCAGGTGCTCGGCCTGGAGGGGAGGAGGGAGGGCTGGCGCTAGAGGATCAAAGTGGACGCAAGGACGGAGGAGGCCAAGGACAGGGGCTAGAGTGTGCAGGGGTAGGGGAGGAGGCCGGATGAGCAGGTTCAGTCCAGCCCCTGGTGTGTGCGTCCCTCCAGGTTCTCCTGCAGGAGCCCAACCCAGGCATCCAGTTCGAGTTCTGGCTCCCCCAGGAGCTCTACAGCCCCTTCCAGGCACAGACACAGGCCCTGGGCTGGTCCCTGCTGCGGCCACAGAGTCGAGAGGTGGAGCCTCAGCCCCTCGTGACCCCCACAGCCCCTGCTGCCGCCCCCCCACGGACCGCGGTCCCTGCCCCAGGTGAGGTGGAGACGGCTGGGGTGGGTTCAGCAGGGAGGTGCGGTCACGCCCCTGACTGCACCCCCCTGCAGACCCTTGCCCACCCTGCCCTGACACCCGCGGCCGCGCCCACAGGCTGACCCACTATTGCAGCAGTGACTTTGGTGAGAGACCCCTGACTCCAACCCTCACGCGGCCCCTACTGACCTCAGCCTGATCCCTGTCCTGCTGACTTCTGACCCTGGTCCAACTTTATCTTTGACTCCTTGACCCGACTCCAACTTGACCCCGCCCGACCCCAAGTTGACGCTTTCATCTTATTTTTTGCCTTAATCTGACCAAGCCCTGACATGACTCTGGCCCAGGCCCTTCTCCAAGGTCCCCAGGGGCCCCCAGTGCCCTACCTGACCCCCAGCTCCCTTTTCTGGCATTGGGTGCATGGAAGGGTACCCAGGCTGAAGCGTCCAGCTGGCCTCAGCACCGCCCTGCCCACAGTGTTCCGGGCCCAAGTGCTGGGCCACCTCCGCCAGGCCCAGGAGAGTCGCTATGAGGTGCGTGTGCAGCTTGTCTACAAGAACCGCTCGCCGCTGCGGGCCCTCGAGTACTTGTGGGCCCCCGGTCGCTGCCCCTGTCCACTGCTGGCCCTCCATCGTGAGTACCTGCTGGCTGCCCAGCGCCTTGTCAGCCCCGACGGCACTCAGGACCGGCTGCTGCTTCCACACGCTGGCTACGGTCGGCCCTGGAGCCCCGCTGAGGACAGCCGTATCCGACTGGTCGCCCGGCATTGCCCTGTCTGAACCCCCACACGAAGCCCGTGACATCGAGGCAAATACGCCTGGCCCGACTCAAACTCGACATTCTCGCCCTCGGCTGTGGCCGCCAGGGGAGTCCGAAGCATCCCCTTCTGCAGCCCCAGTTAGACGCCGGCACGGTCAGCCTCACTGCCGTGGACAGACAGATGCAGGTCCACAGGTGAGAACGCACTGCAGAGAGCATTTCCTCTCAGCCTGGCTACCCAGAAACTCACCGTTATTCGCGCTCAGAAGCTGGATGTCTGCTTTGCCCCTTCACACTCACTTGTTTAGAGACACCGTCACGAACAGCATGGCCTGGAGAAGCTGTGCCTAACAAGACGTTGTGATGCATCAGTTTCCCTTTCTGCCTTGGCTATCAGGAACTTGGCACTACTTAATTCCATGATACACTGTTCTGGTTGTCGTTGCCTTTTCGCACAGACCTTCTCATATCCCTAGAGGTCGTCAAATACAGATGTGCACCCGCTCCCTGGAGACATGGCTGGCCAGGCATTGTCATACACGAATTTCCCCTTTTGCCCTGACGACCAGGAAGCTCCTAGGTCGTCTTGACAGCCTCAGCCATTCTGGCATGTCACCTGGAGTCATCACTGGGCTTCCTCCGGGCAACATTGCTGTCCACTCCTTTTTAATTCCAGTTCTTTATAGGCATTTGTTTTTATCAAGGCCACTCAGATGCACATGCTCAGCTGCAGAGACTCTGGGAGGCACTGGTCTCACAGACACGCAGTCATACACACACCCACCTCCTGCACCAACCCTCCCTCCCCTCGGAATACCTGACCCTGCGTGGGAGTGAGTATAGGGAAGGTATGAAGATGGGGTACAGGTGGGGGGATACACGGGGCTTTAAGGTCCCAAGTGCCCTCTCCATGCCCCCTTGGGGGCCACACTTTCCCCTCAGGCTACCCGATAGAACTGTACCCCACAGAGGATGCTGGCAAGCCAAGAATCGGGGTGTCTGTGGGTTGTGACATGGTCACTCAGCAAACCCTCCCGTGGGGGCCACCCTGAGGGGCCACCCTTCTGCCTCTCCAGTGTGAGTGGGCTGACGCACGCTGTCATCGGGAGAGCCTGCTCTTCTGGCCATTGTGGTGGTTTTTCTCTGGGTCACTGGGTGACAGAAATCGACATGAGGGTCTTACACTCAGCTCCTGCCCTCGCAGGTGACCTCAGGCCAGACTCTGAGCCCAAGTTTTTCCCAGTGCAAGTAGCCTTTCAACACCTCCCCCTCTGACCAGGGAGTTGCACGCTCGGGATTCCTCCCTTGGCACCCCCACTCATGCTTTTCTCCAGTGAGCATTTACTGTGCTGTATCTGCCAGGGAACCAGCTCTGCCCTTCCCCTGCTCAGCCTTGTTATCTGTAACCAGGGCTGAAAGTGGAGAATCCCCCGCCTTCCTCGTGGTGCAGGGGGTAAGTCTCAGCACCACCAAACTATGGGCAGCCACTGCAGTGTGAGTGACCCACAGGGTGCAGCAGACCCCTCCTGTCTCCCCACTGCTCCCCTCAGCAGCGTCTTTCAGTCAGTCCACCTGTTCTATTCCCCACTCTGTCTGGTAATCCTCTCACACGCCCCCCACCTCTGGCCTGTGCCCCATTTCATGTACGCATAAATAAATGATTCTTTTAAAAATAAAAAGTGGAGACTCCCAGAGCCCCCATCTCCAGCCCTGTAAAATGGGAGCCCCTCTGGAGAGGACGCAGGTGGGGCGCGCCCCCTGGCGGCAGGATGAGGGAAGACAGGGTCGAGGCATTGCGTCGCGCCCGCCTCCACCCTTCCCGCCTGCTGCCCGGCAGTGCCCACTCCCCACCCCACGCCTTCCTCTGCTGGGCCCCAAACGCCAGTCTGGCCCTTCTTGGTGCCAGCCCCACTGCCATGACCATTTCTCCCAGCACCACCTGAAGTGACCCTCTCTGCCTCACTGTGGTGTATCCAGGAGCTGGGGAGAGCCCCTGCAAGCCGGGGACTTCAGCCTTCTTGGCCTCGAAGCTCCTTGGGGCAGCTCTGCCACTGCCCGGGAGCCACCTGGTCTGGCTGGCCGCGGCCGGGTGCCTGCTTGGGGGTCGACACCGGGAGAGGGCAGTGCAGGCTGGTCTGGCCACGTCAGCACTGAATTTCTGGTCACTTTTGAGCTTCCTCTGTACAGCAAGATCGTCTCAGGTAATAACCATATAACAATGGGCAATAAAATCGTTGAATTCTGGTTTGCTTTGTAGCTTTAAAACAATAGAACGTTTTACAGAGAGAAGCAAACATTGCAACTCTAACGATGCCCAAATTCAGCAAAATGTTTCACCACAGAACTAACACTCCCTCTTGCCAAGTAACAACCTTATCCCCTGTTTTTCTGTTTTACATTTGAACACTAATAAAAACAAAAACTCCAGGCGGTTACTCAGCATGACAGAAATAGAATGGCTTCTGTTGTTTCCTGGGCTTCATAGTCAGACTCCTTTTTATTGCCGGCTGTGTCCCAGGGAGAGACTTTGGTTTGGGTTAGGGTCACACATGGCCCAGGTTGACTGCCAGTGAGCTCGGACAGGAGCAACTCGAGCTAAGCCCGTGTGCTGGGTCCTCACAGGAAATTCTCTGAACTGACTTCCAGCAGGAGTCTATATTCAATAAGGAATTAAAACCTGCAAGTTTCAAACTTGCACGCACGCCAGTAAAACAAAGGCAAACGCGACAGCTGTTTCATTAGCACACAAAGATATTTTCCAAAACCCGGTGGCAGGCTGGGGGTTGGGATGCACTGTGACCGTTTTTAAATCTCTACCAGCAGCACTCCATATAGTCACCTGCCTTCTCCCTGACCCTGAACGATGCACAGTGAAAAGGAGGATGCGTTACCACCGTGCACAACTTTAAAGATACACAGGCTTCAAGCTAAGCCATCAAATTCCAAATTAGTTTTCATTGACCACAGATGATCTCAGACCACTCCTGCTAGAAGTTCTTTGCCAGTTCCCAGTATTTGCTTTTAATTGCATAGTATCTGTATGCTCTGCCTGTACCAGTGTTAGGTCGTCCAGAAGCCAGGACAATTAGACTCTAACGAGAGGAAGACGGGGCCCTCCCTGGTGGCGCCAGGCTTAAGGCACAGCCCTACAAAGGCGGGAGGCCAGCTGCAGCACAAGTTCAGCCCCTGATCCCCGCCAGGGAGGGACCCCAGGGCGAGGCAGACCTCTCCTGTCTCCCGCTGCTCCCCTCAGCAGTGCACTTCGCCGATCTGCCTGTCCTGCTCCCGCTCTGTCTCTGGGGAGTCCTCTCACTGCCCCTGCACCTCTGGCCTGCACCCCAGTTCTATGTGCATAAATAAATAAATCTTTTAAAAAAGAAATATACACAACCCACTTAAAAAAATATAAAGGGGAGGATGTGCAGACAGGACGAATGGATGCAGACGGCTCCCTGGGTTCCTCACGGAGCCCACTCAGAGCAGCTTACACGCTGCAGTTATGTTTGCAGTGACACACAGCCTTCTCTTTGCTTCCGTATGAGGGCAAAGCTGAGGTTAGTTTCCTGAGGTTGGATTCCTCTCGCCATCTGAGAGGCAGTTCCAGCTGCATTGAAGTAGCAAGGTTTCTGTTCCCCTGAACCACACAGGCACCTGCCGAAGGAGTCTGCAGAGACAGAAGGGAAACATCGAACATGGGCCCATAGGAAAAAAAATTTTTTCACAACAAAATTATAAAAATTAAAAGACCACATCAGAACAAAGCGCCTCACCCCTGTGGAGACAGAATCAAATTCCCGAAGCTGAGACGTGATGAGAGCAGAGGCCGGTGGTGCAGAGGCCAGCGTGGCTGCCTTGGGAGGACAAAACTAACTTATTGCAATCCCCAGGGAAGGCTCCTGGCCTTAGTCACCATCTCAGGGGTTCCACTGTCCACCAGGAGGTAAATCCTGGGGTATCCTGAGAAAAGAACAGGAAAACTGGAAGAAAAAGATATTTTTTTGTAGTTTCCGCTAAAACTTTTTGAATGGTTTGTGCAGTTTGATCCTACACCCGTCCTCTGTCCGGTGAGGTGCTCCAAGCTGCAGCCTGAAGCGGCCCTTGACACGCCGCTGCCGAAGCGCTTTAAGGACCCCCTGGGCCTGGCGGCCGCCGTCACCCACCCACAGCTGCTGACCGGCAGCTCAAGAGCCCACGGCGGGCGGGCTTGTGGGCATTGCCATCAAGGAGCTCTAGCAAATGGCTCCAGCGTTACCTGGGGCTCCCAGGGGGTCAACACAGAGGAGTTTTCAGCTCGAGTAGACCCCCATCTTCATCCGAGCCCCCTTTTATCATCAGCCCCTCTGAGGGGGAGATTTTGAAAAGCTCCACCTCCTCCCTTCGGCTGGCGCTGATGTCACCCGCCCGGCAGCCGGGGTCTCTCCTCCCTGTTCCTCTTACTAGTCTGTAGGACAGGGTCTTTTAGGGCCTTAAGTTTTGAGTTCTGGTTCCTGCACTTTTTTCTTACACAAATACAAGATTGATGATTGCCTGAGATGTTCGGGGATCTGTTAGCAATTCTGTTAGCAATTCTGCCTGATTATTATTTCTCTCCCTAGAGAAAGTCTTGAGAATTTCTAGAAAACACATTGTGTCTTCTAATTAATCTTGATAACTGTTTTATTGTCTTTGTGAAAATACGCTCGGGGGTGTTGGGTTACTTAGGCCGCTAGAGCATCTGTTGTCACCGCAACAGTGAGACACATGCAGAGGAGAGACAAGAGGAAACAATGGAGACAAAGATTATAGGGGTGCAGCCACAAGCGTCAGGATGCCTGGAGCCCCCAGAAGAGAAGAGACAAAAGGACCCTTCCCTGGAGCCTCTGGAGGGGCCAGGGCCCTGAGACCTGAACCCCAGAGTGTGAGAGAACACATTTCCACTGTCTGAAGCTGCCGGCTTGAGGTCACTTCTTCTGGCTGCCCAGAGGCCTTTCGTCCTGCTCCCTGCCAGCCCCGGCAGCATGTGCACAGAAAGAAAAAGAGGGTCTAGAATGTTCCTAGCACTATTCACTACAGCCCCAAACTGGGAGCAGATCCATCTCATTCCAGCAACTGGGGAGCCGGGAGGCAGTGGCGGGGCAGAGCCCCAACGGCCTGATGTTCAGGGGCAAAGTGCCTGGAGCAGGAGCAGGAGCAGGACCCGGCTTCCTGTGGGCGGGAAGTGACTGCACAGACTGGCCACACCGCCTTTCCTGCAGGCTTGGGGGAAAGCCGGTCTGAGGGACTAGAGCCACGTCCACTGGGGAGACAGCTGTATGGCCCCCCTAACTCTGCTCCCTGGGTGAGTAGACTTGGTCAGGGTCTAGTGACAGTTTTTGAGGGGCACAGCTAGAACCTGCTCTGCTGCCTCCCCATGATAGGAGCGGTGCCCCTCCCCCACGGCCACACCTTCAAGGAGCTGGGCCCCAGGGAGCGGATTCCAGGATCCCTGTCCCCAGCACCCGTGTTGGGGCTGTGTGTCCTCAGCGGGGTGTGGAGTCCATTAATGATTACCCCCCATGCCTCCCCTCCCCAGCCCTGCACCCTGAGTAGCTGCCAAAGTTCTTACTTCGTGTCCTTGAACCTGCTCCACTGCTCAGACTCCCGGGTCCAGGCAGCCTCTCTGACCCACCTCAGGGCCGTCTTTCCTCTGCCTCCATCAGTTCTGCCCCCGGAATACAGAAGACTCACACTCTTTCCTGTCTTTACAAATACTTTTTTTTTTTTTTAAAGATTGATTTATTTGTGCATACAGAACTGGGGTACAGGCCAGAGGCGTGGGTGGTGATAGGATTTACCAGAGACAGAGTGGAGAGCAGAACAGGCAGAATGACAAAGTACACTGCTGAGGGGAGCAGCGGGGAGACAGGAGGGGTCTGCTGCGTGCTGTGGGTTACCCCCTGGCCAGGGATCGAACTCGTGCTGAAGCTGCTGCAGCACACTTCATAGTACTGTGCTTCAACCGTCTGCACCACCAGGAAGGACCCTACAAATACTTTCTTAAGGAGACTTTATCTGGAGGCCTCCCTGGTGGCACAGGGGTTAAAGTCTCAGCACTAGCAAGTTATCACCAAGTGCTGCAGTGAGTTCAGTCCCCCGCAGGGAGTGACCCACAGGGGCAGCAGACCCCTCCTGTCTCCCCGCTGCGCCCTCAGCAGTGGGTTTCAGCAGCTCTTCCTGTTCTCCCCACTCTGGTGTATCCTCTCACCCCCTGCACCTCTGGCCTGCACCCCAGTTCTTATGTGCGAAAATAAATAGAAATAAACCCTAAAAAAGAGACTTTATCTGACCTTCCTGACCTCGCAGTCCCAACCTGACCCGGCTCCGCCCTGTCTGCCCGCGAGTCTCCTCCCTCTGAAGGACGCAGCAGATGACCACCACATCAAGGGCCGCTGCCGGGCCACGGCCGTGGCGCTGGCATTTTTATCTCTGGCTCACGGCTGTAGCCTTGGCTCCTGGGGCAGGGCCAGCAGGCATCATGCAGCAGGTGGTTAATATTTGCTGAGCGATCAGATAAAGGACGCGCAGCACTGCTCACAGGTCTACTCAGAACTTCCTCTCCTCTCCGCAGGGTGAGGGCTGCCGTGGCAGTGGGGGCTGCGGGGTGGCCTTGTTTTTGGGAACACTCTGAGCCCCGTAACTCGCACCCGCGGGGGACCAGCTGGGCCTGCCGAGAGGGGTGTCTTGTCAGAGCACTGCAGAGAGCAAATGTGTTTTCAGATGGGGAATGTCCTGGGGACAGAGTCCGTGCTGCCCCCGGCTCCGCCCTCGGGCCTCACGCCGCCAGGGTTTGGCTTTCTCCTGCTAACTGGTGTCTCCATGCGGGGTGCCAACCTCGGAGCAGCCGTGCCTGGGCAGGGCCATCCTGCGGGGGACACTGTGGCCCCCGCTGCCACTCCAAAGGCCTTGCCGAGCGGGGGCTGCCTGGCACGAGGGTACGCAAGTCTTCAAGTTCCCCAGGGCAGGCCGATGCCAGGGCAGGCCGATGCCAGTGGCTGGCCATCGCCTCAGGACACAGTCCAGAGTCTGGGACTCCTCTTGGCTCCTCTCCTCACTTCCGGTTCCAGCTCTGCTGCCACGGACCCGGCTTTAACGGGGGGAAGCTCTATTTTTTTATTTGCTGGCTCATTTTTGCCGAGTTTTTGGCATCTGTACCCAGGAAACAGGAACACCGCCTACGTCACTTGCCCGTCTCCACCTGGCTCTGTGATCCCGCGCCCTCACTGCCTGGCGCTGGCTGGGCTGAACGGCCACTGCTCCCCCCGCCCATGAGCCCACTCGGAGCGGCTGGGTGCGCCTTGCACCTGCAGCCAGAGACCCCGCCTCCAGCTGAGGCCTCACCCGCCTCCTCCCCTTCCACCGCGCTCCTGCTGGTCTCTGGACCCCCCCACTCTGGGCCTGGGCTGGGCTTCTCGACTCTCATCTGCCCGGAACAGCCCAAGCAGGGGGCGCTGCGGCGCCCACGCTCAACTTTCTGGGAGTTTTGCAAGAGGCTGAGGGGAGGGAGCGCAGGGGATGAGGCCGAGGCAGGCCTGGCTCAAATCCACCCGAGCCGCGCATGGGGGGCCTCAGGCAGGTGGGTTGGTCTCTCTGGCCTCAGTTTCCTCATCTGTAACATGGGGCCACATCCAGATGAGAGTCGCCCTGTGGTCCCCACCCCCCCCCCCGGGGGGCACCCAGGAGACTGGGCGACACGGTTCATCCAATGAGCTTTATTGCGCCCCTCCTAGCAGGCCAGGTGTTTGAGGCGCCAGCACTGCTGCAGGTAGTGGAGCCCGTGTCTGTGGTGAGGCCAGCTGCAGGTGACCTCCGTGGCGGACTCTGACGTGAACTCCACAGAGGACTCAGACGGGCAGGACACGGGCAGCTCGGGCACTGAGGAGCTGCTGAGAGCCCGGCCGGCCGGCTGCTTGTGGTGCTGCGCGCCAGACTTAGTCTTGGGGGCCCCGGGGCCCGCGGGGGTCCTGGGGGGCTTGGCCTCTGACTTGTCAGAGGTATTGCTGGAGGGCTTCCCGGAGACGGTGGTACCGTTGGGGGGCGGCATGGAGGCAGGATCCTGGCTGGAATTGGGGCTGGGGCGCGGCACGGAGCCTGCCGGCTGGGCGGTGGGCTGGGCGAGCTCCGCAGAGGCGGAGAGGGGCCTGGGGCACTGCTGGCTGGGGCCCTGCGGCTGGCTGACCGAGCTGCCCCGTGCCCGAGACTGGGCCTGGGACTTGCCAGGCAGCTGGGCGCTGCTGGCCGTGCCAGAGGACGGGGAGCTGGACTGGGACGCACCCAGGCTGTCGGTCTGTGAGGAGCTCTTGGGGCCCGACTTGCTCGGGGACACGGGGCTGGTGGTGGGCTCTGCTGGGGACTCCGGAGAGGAGTCTGCCGGGGACCGGTGGCGCAGGGTGTCCTTGCCAGTTTGCAGGTTGGGGCTGGAGCTGGGCAGCGCCTTCACTTGTCCTTCTGGAGCTGGATCAGGCTTGTTTTGGCTGCAGGGAAGGGGCAGAGGGGTCAGGGGGCTGCGGCCTTCAGCGGAGGGGCGCAGGGCGGAGGCCGTGGAGGCCAGGTGGCAGGGTCAGGGTGCCGCACACACGCCCGCCGCGTACGCGCCCAGCCCTGCGTGGGCACTGCGCCTGCACAGAAGCGCTCGCCCGGGGGCGTGTGTGCAGGCGCAGCGCGGCAGCCTCACTCTCGCCTGCAGCAGCATCCACACGCTCGGCACGCGCCTCGTCCCTACCTCCCAGGGTGGGGTTATGTATGGTCAGCTCGCTCCGGGGCAGCTGAGGGCCCACCGCCGCAGCTGCTGGGCTGACGAGAGCCCGGCCGCGGGCGAGGGTCTGCAGGACTGGTTCCCGAGAGCGTGGAAAAGAGAGGTGGACAGTGAGAGGGGAGGGGTGGGCCAGGCAGCCCGCACGCCAGGCGGAGGTGAGTCAGAGGCAGCACACAGGCAGGTGTGTCGGCAGGCAGAGACAGACGGGGCGGACAGACAGCCCACACCCTGTGGCACGCACCGTCCCTGGTTATTTCGGCCGCCATGTCCAGCGCTCGCCCGCTGAATTCTCTCGCGACGCTGTCCACTGCCCCGTGATGCTTTAGAAACAGCGGCCGGATGACGCGATGATACAGCACGTGAGCCCCGTTCCACGACCCGGGGATCATGCAGAACAACAGGAAGGCGCACTGCAGGCACACGGGGGTCACACCTGGCCTCCCCACCAGACCCCTCCCCTGGCAGGGCCAGCTCCCCCCAGAGGAGGGGCTGAAACCCCCGTCACCCCCCAGCGGCAGGGCAGGAGCCTCTGAAACGCCCCCCAACCCGCACGGAGAGTCTGGGGAGCACCACCTTGCCCGCGTAGTAGAAAGGGAACCAGGACAGGAGTAGATCGCTGAAGAACTCGACCAGGGCGAACAGACCGTACACCACCCAGTAGGTGAGCCACACAGTGTCGTCCTCTTTGCTTGGACTCTCGATAGCTTTGATTCTGCGGGAGGAGCAGCGGTCAGGGCCCCCTGCCCGCCACCCCACCACCCCCCGCCCCCAGCCAGCGGCACTCACGAGGCATATGCGGGGTATACAAAGCCGATGAGATTGCACAGCAGAGACGCCCCGTAGCCGAACAGAAGATACAGGCTTAGCAGAGTGACGGCTCCTGTGCAGGGACAGTGGGCGGGCTCGGCACTGCCCCCGCCAGGCGGCGACCACCCCTGCTCCCAGAGGCCGCCACCCCCCGCGATGCTTCAGGTGCAGTGCCCGAGTGCCCTGAGCCCTGTGTCTGTCATCAGCCTACACGTCTGTCTCCCCCGGGGGACTGTGAGGTCCCCCAAAGCAGGTGGGATCCCGGCCGTGGTGGGTACAGTGTAGCTGCCCAATAAACACAGGTCAGATGAGTGACTGTAATTACAGCCCCTCACGCCAGGGCCCCCAGTAGGGGCGGTAGCGGGAGAGAAATCTGAAAGTGGGCCCCTTCGTTTATACTGCACCAGACTGCAGAACAGGAAGAGGGAACAGCTCAGAGCCTCCTCCCCGGGAGCACAGCCACCGGGCTAACGAGGCCGGCCCTTCCCCACAGGAGCCTGTCCTGGCCGCTGTAGGGTACTGGGGTGGCCTCTCTGGCTCTACTCGATGCCAGCAGCACCCCAGTCGTAAAATGTCTTCTCAGCATTGCCTCAGCTGAGACTCCACGTCTAAGTGGGGGCAGCACTGCAGGGTTCAGAACCCCCATGGCCCGGGGAAACCCTGCCCTCCCACTCACTGGCCATGTGACGCTGAGCAAGTGGGCTTGGAGCCTCGTTTTCCCCACAGGTAAATGGGGTGGGGCAGCCCTCCCTGCCAGGCCCCCGGGTCAGCTACAGCAGAGAGGATTCCTCCTGCCCATGCACTGGGTGAGCACCTCTGACTTTGCAAATACAAACCTCACAGTGAGGGGTCCGGGACGGGGGTGGGGTGGGGTGGGGAGCCCGCCCGAGCATCAGCCACCGATATAACAGTGCTGACTGCCGTGTTTACTGAGGGCTTCCTGTGTGGGCTCTGCCTGTTCTGTCTCACTTGGATGCGAAGACAGTGCGCACCGACAGCCTCTAGCTGCCTCCCTCAGCCGTCATCTGCCGAGAGGCAGAGGCCACTGCAGACCAAAGGGCAGGACACCCACCTCCCCTCTCCCTCCCCTAGTCTGTATCCTGTAAGGCTGAGTTGGGGGACGCCCCTGCTGGCCCCAGACCTAGTCATTGCTCCCTCTGGACTTTCTCTGACTCCTACCTCTAGGGGGTAGGTAATTTGGCCTTTCGGGGAAGATAGGGCCCAAGGATGACCACATCTGGACCAGGGGGTAGGGGAATGTCCCCCCTTCTCTCGGAATTACTAGTTAGGGAGCGGCAGCTCGCCTTCAATCCCCTTTACTGCAGCCTCAGCAACAGAAGGATTCCCTTGGACATGGGGGGAAGAGCCCCAGGGATCAGCAACAGATGTGACCGGGAATCGGGAAGGGCTGGGTGCCCCGGACAGGTCAGACGGTGGGGTCAGCCGCCCACTCAGCCCCAGCCCTGCTGGCCCGAAGTTCCCCTGTAAGCCCTGGCCTCCAAGGCCACTCCCAGCAGCCTCCCCAGCACTCTGACCTAAATCTCCGGCCTGCTGGCACCAGGGATATGCAAAATTAGGGGGGAGGTCAAGGGGTAGGTCTCTGGCTGACTCAGTGTGGGTTGGTTTCTGAACTCAGGTTGGGGCCACAAAGCTGGACCTTCCAGCTCTTGCTCGGCACAAAAATGCAAGGAGGGAGGAAAACGGACCCCCAGACCTGCACACAGAAAGTATTTAAAACATGGGTATTGTCCTCCGCGCCTCAAGACACAGTGTCTTCGCGATTCATTGCTGGGGGGCTTCCTGAGAGACTGCAGCAGGTGTCTCCAACTCTGCAAAACAGGGCCCTGGGGAGGTCTCACTACCCGATTTCTGAGGGGGCGTCACCAAGAAAGGAAGGGGCCTGAAACAGGAGTGGCAACCTGGTGGCTGGGCCCTGCCCCGTGGACCCCCATCCAACCTTTCCCCAAGTCTGTCACAGCTGTCAAACAACCCAACTCCAACTGAACAAGACTCGGGATGTGGGCCAAGGTCACTGGTGGGTGGGGAGCAGCAAGGGAAGTTCCAGGTGAACAACGAGGGCGATGACCCTTCCTCTGCTGACCTCCAGCTTGCCCTCAGGAAAAACGGGAAGATCTCTACACTCGCCTCCATGCTGGGGTCCAAGCAGCAAGTGGGGAGGCAAGTTCCAGAGGCAGCAGCCGCCCGGCCACCCCTCCGGCTCTTGCTCTTTCTCCAGGCCAGCAGAGCAACTGGTCTAACCGGACTTTGGCCTGGAGGCACCCAGAGCCTGGAGGGTCTGTGCAGAGGGCAGCTGCCAGACTCAGGGCTGGCGAAGACGCGCAGCGGGGCCGGGCTGGCCCTGGCCTGACGTTCTACCGCGGGGGCAAGCCCCGAAGTCCTGGACCACGGCCCCCTCCCCAGAAGCTCCGTCTCCCCGCTGGACAGGGGGCGCGCCCAGGCGTCCAGGCCGGGTCTCCGCAGCCAGAGCCGGCCGGGGCGGCTGGCAGGTCTGAGGTCCGGGTGCCCCAGAGCCTCGGCGTGCCCGTCGGTAAAGTGAGGTGCGCCCCCGGGGGGCTCACCCGCGGCCAGGTACCGCTTGTCGACACCGGTCTTGGCTTCGAGCGCTCCTAGGGCGTCGGTGGCCCAGTTCTTCTGTTCTAGAAATTGTTCGAAGCGCTGTCGCAGACCGTCCATGGCACCGACGACTCTGAGACTGATAGCGCGAACTTGACCGCGGCCCGGCGCACCGGCCCAGCCGCGCGCGCACCGCCTTCCTTGGCCGCGAGCCGCCTCGCTCAGCCCCGGGGATGGTCTCTGCTCCGGGTCCCCCGCTCGGGCCAATGGGAGGGCAGGGCGGACAAAGGAGGTGGGGCCTGCCCCGTCTCCCCCGCCGCATGGCCCTCTGGCGGGCCGCCGCAGCGGGTGCCGCCACTCGGGAGGGAGGGGGAGGGGCGCGGATGCCGCGGATGTTTATTGGCTTAGCGGGAGCGGGACGTAGCTGATTGGAAGGGCGGGGCCACGGCCGGGGATTATTGGCTGAGCCGTTACGGGGGTGGGGCTGAGGGAGGCGAGGAGCGTGCAGAGGGAGGGAGGAGCCGGTGGGACGGACCGGAGGCTGGTCAGAGCTGATTGGAGAAACTGGGACGGTGTCGAGGCGAGAACAGTGTAGGGGCGGGGCTTATCACGAAGAAGGCGGGACAAAATCCGAAGGGCGAAGATAAGGCGGGGCTAGATTCAGGAGGCGGGGCTTACTCGAAAGAACAATTCTGGTTGGACCGAGAGGAAGCAGGGTTAATTCTAGAGGGAGGGGGTGTCTAGGAGTTGGGCGGGGCCAAGTCAAGGGGTGGGGCCAATTATAACACCAGTGAACCCGCACTTCTGATGAGAAGATTTGTACAGATGGGGAGACTGCGGGTCCAGAGAGCTTGGGTCTATGGAAGATCAAGGCGGGAGTGTCCCCTCCCCTCTTCCACTGTCGGATCTTTGCGCTCCGCAAGGGGCGGGGGTTGGGGGGAACCGCAAGGACCCCTGGGAGTTGAAGCCTTTCAGGGGTTGCTATGGCGCTGGGGGCGGGGCTGGCGCTTGGGCCGACTCGGCGGTTTGGACAGGGGGAGGGGGCTTTCCGTGGCCCCGCCCAGGCCCCGCCCCCGCCACCATGCGGCCCCCCCGGACTGAGCTCCGGCTGCGCCTGACCTTGGCCCTGGGCTTGGCCCTCGTTGGCCCCTTGGCTGTGGGGTGGGCCTCGGCACGGGTCCCCATCTATGTCAGCAGCTGGGCCGTGAGGGTGTCCCAGGGTTACCAGGAGGCCGAGCGCCTGGCGCGCAAATTCGGCTACGTCAACCTGGGGCAGGTGCGCAGACCCAGATGCCCCAGAAGGGGAAGGGGGCTGGAGGGCCCCAAACCTGGCCAGAGAGGAGGGTCCTCCCAGGTCTCCCAAATATCAAGAATCCTCAGCCCACTTCTGCCGCCGCCAACCTTAGATTCTGTGTACCCTCTGAGGGTTCTTGGGCACCCGGTTAGGGGTGGGGACAAGCCAGGGGGGACCCTCTCTATGGGGGCAGCCAGGTCCCAGCAACATGGCTGTCCCCTTCCTCCCACCCACCTTCCCAGATCTTCCCTGACAGCCAGTACTTCCATCTACGGCACCGGGGGGTGGTCCAGCAATCCCTGACCCCGCACTGGGGCCACAGCCTGCGCCTGAAGAAAGACCCCAAGGTGAGCCTGGCCTGGAGGCTGCCTCCAGGGGGTCGCAGCCACCTCCTGTTAGTCCTGTGGTTGGTATGAATGGTTGTGTGACCTTCAGCGAGTTAGCTGGTCTGTGTCTCAGTTTCGACTTGGCCCGGCAGCCTATATAACAGGGACCCAGACGGGGACCCCCATCAGTGAAGAGCAACAGGTCCCCTCAGGACCTGGCACACTATTGCATTTATTGTTCCCCCTTTCCTTCCAGCTCCTCCTGAAAGACGAGGTGCCTGGGTACCAAGTCAAGGGGCAGTAATATTCCTCCCCATCCTCTAGCTCCTGGGAAGGACGGAAGGGAACAGCCCCTCTTCCAGAAAAAGATGGTACCAAAGAGCAGGAATCTTGCTTGAGTCACCTGGCTAAACTGGGACAATAGTCCAGGCTCTGGACACTCTGGTGACGGGACCAGACTGGGAAAGGCCTAGGTGTCGAGCGGAGGAGCTCAGACTGAGTCTGGCAAGCCCTTGGGAGCCAGGACATGACATGGGGGGTGGGGGCAGGGAGGGGAGCAGTGATGGGCAAGGAGGAGACGCCTAATCACTGGAAGCCTGCTGTGAGCGTTGGTGACAGGGAGCTGGCGCTGGCTTATGATCGGTTTGCAGGCGAGAGATCAGGACTTGGAGTAAATGTGTGGGAGAAAGAGGCATCCGGGCCAGTTCCCAAATGTAGGGCTGAGGGCAGAAGACCGGATTGCTAAATTGGAGGGGTCAGAGACTGGCCGGGAGAAAAGAGGAGGAGCAGAAGTCTGAGAAGCTGCTAAGGCTGGTAGGGCGGGGAGAGGGCCACAGTGCTGCAGGGGAGCACCGTGCCCCTGGCGAGGACCCGGGGACAACTCAACAGAATGGTGCCGCAGCAAGCTCAGAGTGGGCAGGAGAGGTGCCGGGGGAGACTGCTGTGCCCACGAGGGTGCCCGGCACTGGGGAGCAGAAAGTGAAGAGAAGTGGCCACCCCAGGGGCAGGCCATGGGCAGAAGGCTCAGGCAGAAGGCAGAGTTGGGGACCCTACCACCCTAGTTACCCCAGGGAAGTGGCCGTTTGTTACTGGGAATGGGTATTTTTTAAATAATATAATAGTTTATTCTTACATCATTTTGTGCATTTTTCCATCTCAGTTGTGATCCCCTTGGGCTTCCCATCACCAAATCACCTATGTGCCATCACCAAAGTCCAGTGCATTTCCCTTCCCCCACTGTTTTTGATCCCGGGATGCGTATTTTAAAAAAAATATTTATTTATGCCTACAGGAACTGGGGTACAGGTCAGAGATGCGGGGGATGAGAGTTTTCACCAGAGACAGAATGGGGAGCAGAACAGGCAGATCCGTTGAAATCCACTGCTGAGGGAGTAGCCGGGAAACAGGGGAGGTCCCCCACGCCAGGGGAGCCATGGGGGACACCTCCCTGACTGGGGATCAAACTCCTGTTGCAGTGGCTGCAATGGCTGCAGACAGCTTCATTGTGCTGGCTTTAACCCCTTGTGCACCAGGGAGGACCCCCTGGGAATGGGTATTCTGAAGTCCTGCCCTCCTCTGACTAAAGGCAGAGCACAAGAGCAGGGCAGACCCAGCGTGGTGTCCTGGGCCAAAGACCCACCGAGGCCCCAAACTCTCTGCCCTCTCACAGTCCAGCAGCATTCCACATCCCCAGGGTCCAGGACAAGCATGGACGGTCCAGACACACATCCACTCCAGCCGCATTCCCACACGATTGCCCCTCGGTGGGGCGGCTGGGAAGCCTGTGCAGACCCTGGAAGTAGACTGGGCCCTTTGACAGGGAAATGGTGGTGAGGGCCAGAGGGACTGGCCCCTTTGGCCAGTGGGGCAGGCCCTCTAAAGTGGAGGGTGTGAGGGTGGGAGGGCTGGCAGGGGGCCGGCTGGCTTCAGGGGCCCTGCAGGCCAGCAGGCTGGTGGCCTGGGGGTCCAGCCCCCTCCGGAGCATGCCCCCCACAGGTGCAGTGGTTCGAGCAGCAGACACTACGGCGGCGGGTGAAGCGCTCCTTGGCGGTGCCCACGGACCCCTGGTTTTCCAAGCAGTGGTACATGGTGAGTCGGCCGGGCCGGACTGGGTGGGCCCGGCAGCAAGGCTGAGCTAACCAGAGCCCTGCTGACCCGCCCTGCCCCTGCAGAACAAGGACACGCAGCCAGACCTGAACATCCTGCAGGTTTGGAACCAGGGGCTGACGGGTCAGGGCATCGTGGTCTCCATCCTGGATGATGGCATCGAGAAGGATCACCCGGACCTCTGGGCCAACTACGTGAGCTGCGGGAGCCGGCGTGGGAGGAACCAGGTCCGCACCTGCTCCAGCCCTCATCTCCCCGCCTGTCCTCAGGACCCCCTGGCTAGCTACGACTTCAATGACTACGACCCGGACCCCCAGCCCCGTTACACACCCAGCGATGAGAACCGGTGAGCCCAGTGCCCCCCTGAGGGGGGTCCCTGGAGCCCTGGGAGGGGAGGCTGCGATGGCTAATCCTGTCTGCCCTGCTGCTAGGCACGGGACCCGCTGTGCCGGGGAGGTGGCAGCGACAGCGAACAATGGGTTCTGTGGTGTAGGTGTCGCCTACAATGCCCGAATTGGAGGTACCCAGGGCCCCCAGGGGCACTTTCCTTAGCCCCAGTCTCCCTCCTCTGCCTCCCCTGCTCCTGGCACCCCTGGCAGTGGGTGGCAGGGAATGCTGGAGGGGGCAGAGGAAGCCGACAGGCCAGGAAGGCGCGCTGGGTGCCCACGCCTTTGTGTCAGGGCTGGAGGCCCAGGGTCTGGGGCTGCCCTGCTGCCAGGGGTCCAGGAAGGGCGGCGGGCGGGGCTGTGGCCCACGCGACTGCCCGCAGGCGTGCGCATGCTGGACGGCACCATCACCGACATCATCGAGGCCCAGTCCCTGAGCCTGCAGCCCCAGCACATCCACATCTACAGCGCCAGCTGGGGCCCCGAGGACGACGGCCGCACGGTGGACGGTCCGGGCATCCTGACCCGCGAGGCCTTCCGGCGCGGTGTGACCAAGGTGAGCAGAGCGGGGCGGCCGGGCGGCCCGGCCTCAGGAGCCCACCACGCCTCCCGTCTGCAGGGCCGCGGGGGTCTGGGCACCCTGTTCGTCTGGGCGTCCGGCAACGGCGGGCTGCACTACGACAACTGCAACTGTGACGGCTACACCAACAGCATCCACACGCTCTCGGTGGGCAGCACCACCCAGCAGGGCCACGTGCCCTGGTACAGCGAGGCCTGCGCTTCCACGCTCACCACCACCTACAGCAGCGGCGTCGTCACTGACCCCCAGATAGTAAGCGGAGCCTGCAGCCGGCCCCTGCCCCTGCCGCGGCCGGACCCCAACCCAGGGCCTGGGGTTCCTGCGCAGCCCCAGCACCACCCCGCCCTGCCAAGACCCCTGACCCCGCCTTCCGCCTGCACCCCACCTCACCTTCCCCTCACCTCCCTTCCCATCCTCCCACATTCCCTCTTGCCGCTCCCCCTCCCCAGGGCTGCCTCTGGCCCAGAGGCCCCGGAGCGCCCGCTGCTTTCAGGCTGGGAACAGGCCACGACACCCTCCCCTGCGCCCAGCTCTGCTCAGAGCCCTGCATCCGAGTCACTCTGAGGGGCCCCGACGGCTTTTTTTTTTTTAAAGATTGAGTTATTTATGCATACAAGAGTTGGGGGTGCGGAGTTGGGGCCAGAGGTGCGGGGTGAGGGGGATCACCAGAGACAGAGTGGGGTGGCAGATCCACTGAAATCCATGGAGGCGGCCAGCAGGAGACAGGAGATGTCAGCTGCGCCCTGGGGATCCCTCCCTGGCCGGGGATCGAACACGCGCCGCAGTGGCTGCCCATAGCTTCACAGTGCTGCGCTTCAACCCGTTGTGCCACCAGAGAGGCCCCAATCTCCTGATATATATTTTTAAAGGTTTATTTATTTGTGCACACAGAACTGGGGTACGGGCCAGAGGTGCAGGAGGTGAGAGGAATCACCTCCTGAGACAGAGTGGGGAGAAGGACAGGCCATCTGACGAAATGCACTGCTGAGGGGGCAGCGGGCGGTCAGGAGAGGTCTCCGCGCCCTGTGGTCCCCTCCGGGGCGGGGATGAACTCGTGCTGCAGGGGCTGCAGCTCCATGGTGCTGCGCTTCAAGCCGCGCGCAGGGAGGGCCTCCTGGTATCTGTTAAGCCCGGGCCGTGGATTTCTGCGCAAGGGCCAGCCTTGCATGTGCCGCCCTCGTCCCCTTTGCGCCCAGGTCACCACGGACCTGCACCACCAGTGCACAGACAAACATACGGGCACCTCGGCGTCCGCCCCTCTGGCTGCAGGCATGATCGCCCTGGCTCTGGAGGCCAAGTGAGTGACCGTGGGGGTCCCGCCTCCTGCCCGACCCCTCTGGCCCCAGCTCACCCCCTGCCGTCCTCAGCCCCTTGTTGACGTGGAGGGACATGCAGCACCTGGTTGTCCGGGCATCCAGGCCGGCACAGCTCCAGGCTGAGGACTGGAGGATCAACGGTGTGGGGCGCCAAGGTGAGTGGGGACCGGGCCGACGGGGCACCGCGCCCACAGGGCGGTAACACAGCGCCTCCCGCAGTGAGCCACCATTATGGCTACGGGCTGCTGGACGCCGGGCTACTGGTGGACACGGCGCGCTCGTGGCTGCCCACGCTGCCCCAGCAGAAGTGCGCCCTCCAGATCCTGCACACCCCCAGGTGAGCGCCCTCCGGGCCTCTGCCCCCCCCAGTCGCCCCCAACCCTCGCGCCTCCCCAGCCCCAGCCACCTCTGCCTCCCTCCCCTCCGCCCGTCTGTCACCACTGCCAATGGGCTACGCATGCGGGAGGCAGCCCCGCGGCCTCAGTTTCCCCATGTGTAAAACAAGGGGCTGGCCCCCTGCTGAGACCAGTCCCCGCCTGCCGGCTGCCCACCCCAGCTGGCCGGCTGGCGACAAGTACCCTCACCCCTGGCGCCACCCCCAGCCCCATCCTCCCACTGATGCATGTGAGGAAGAACGTGTCAGCCTGCGCCGGCCAGGCCAACTACATCCGCTCCCTGGAGCACGTGCAGGTGCAGCTGTCCCTGGCCTACAGCCGCCGAGGGGACCTGGAGATCTCCCTCACCAGCCCCATGGGCACCCGCTCCACGCTCGTGGCCATCAGGTGTGCGGTAGGGGCAGCTGCGTGGGGACGGGAGCCCAGCCGGACCCCGCCCTGCCCGGTGGGTGTCAGGCCGGACACACTGCTAGGAGCCGACCTTCACGACGTGGCTTTGAGGCCCTCCCCCGCCCGTCTGTCGTCTCTGTCTGCCCGCCCCAGGCCCTTTGACATCAGCGGCCAGGGCTACAACAATTGGATCTTCATGTCCACGCACTTCTGGGATGAGGACCCGCGGGGCCAGTGGACCCTGGGCCTGGAAAACAAGGGCTACTACTTCAACACGGGTGAGAGCCGGCACTGGGCGGCACTGGCCCCCGCCTCTGCAGCTTCGGGCACCCACCGCCCCCGGGTCTCCTGGGAGAGACGGAGCACACCTGGGCGCCGCAGCGGCCGCGGCACAGGGGTGTGTTGGCAGCAGGGAGTAGGTGCCAGACACCAGATCGCCGTGGGCGCACAGCGGGCGTGTTGCCGCGGGAAGGGGAGGCAGCTGCGCACTGGGAGTCCGGGCGCCAGGGCACCACTGAAGCGTGGGTGGCCGGGGGGGGGCAGTTGGGAGAGGGGCACCCGGGACGGCAAGAACAGGCCTCCCATGGCCTCTCCCCCTCCTCCCTGTGCCCGCCGCGACCCCTGCCCAGGGACACTGCACCGCTACACGCTGCTGCTCTACGGGACGGCTGAGGACATGACAGCGCGGCCCCAGGGCCCCCAGGTGACCAGCGGCGCGTGTGTGCAGCGGGACACAGAGGGGCTGTGCCAGGGTGAGTGCCCGGCGCGGCATGGCCCACCTGATGGGAGGTGGCAGCGGCGGGCAGTGTGCGTGTGCGCCCTGGGGTGGGAGGGAGGACCAGGGCGGTGGCCCCCACTGAAGCCTCTGTGTCCCTCCAGGACGCTGCAGCCCAGCCTACATCCTGGGCCACCTCTGCCACCCCCACTGCCCACCGAAGTACTTCAGCCACACCGGGAAGGCAGTGAGTGCTGTGCCTGGGCGCCCGCTGCCACTGCCCTGCGCTGTGTGCCAGCTGCCATCTTGCCACACCTGCCATGGCAGCCCCCACTCAGCTGCGACCCTGCCCCCCATCCTCCATGCTGGATGAATTTTGGGGCTCCTGCTCAGGACCTGCCACCCCCAAGAGCCCTGCACCGTACAGCCCAGTATAGCCCCACATGCGACCGCCTCCACCTGCCTCTGCCATGGCCTGGCCCAGACGGTGCCCACCGTGACCCCTGCTCAGGGACAGGCGCTGCTCTGCTGGAGACCCTTTTCCACACTGTCTCTTCTCTGCAGGCTGCCCACCTCCGCGCGGGGCATTCCTGGCACTAGGGACCTCCCCGGCTCAGCTGCTGGCTGGAACCCATAGATGTCTGGGGAGGAGAGTCAGCATGCACCCTGCAGGTGCCCAGGGTGTGGATTGAGGGGTGAAGAAGCTAGCTCCGTAAGGTCCTGGCCAACCACCAAGGCCCTCAGGCCCAGAGTGGCCGTGGGGCGTCCTGCAAGCTGGACTTGGAGGGTTCCGTGGAAAAGAAAGAAGACTAGTTACACGGTTTGGGGTGGGGTGTGGACTGGGGTGGGGCAGAGGCAAGGCCTGGACCACCACCCCTTGTCTGCCCCAGATCTGATGAAAGGTGGAGGGAGAAAAAACAGCCCCAGCCAGGCTCAGGCACTACTCCCGAACTCAGCATTTGCAAATAAAGGTTGAATAGGAGGTGCTAAGTCTGTGGTCACCTTTGGGCGAGTGCCCAGCCCCATGGCACCTGGTTGGGGCTTTCTCTGTGCCCTCTTTGGAATCTGCCCAACCCAGGGCATTAGCTGCCTAAGGACCTAGTGGCCCCAAAGGAGACGGGGTCAGCACGGACCCAGTGTGTTGGGGAAGGGCCTGAGCATCCCCATGTCTGCGTGCACACAGCCAGCCAGAAAGCCGGCCAGCTCTTCTTCCATTTCCCTAGGGGCCACTGGGAAGCTGAGGGGAGGGGCGGGCACCAGGAGTTGGCCACAGAGACACATGGTGCAGGCCCCAGACCCCTGGGGGAGGATAAATGGGCATCCAGCTGGGCCCACCTCTGAGAGCCTTGGCGGCCTCAGCTGTGCAGCAGGACTATGCCCAGCTCCTGTCTCACCACGCTCAAGACTCAAAAGAGGTTGTTTGAGCCGTCAAAACCCAGCAGCCCCGGACAGGCAGCAACAGAGATGATTAAACACAGGCTACCGGCTTACCAGTTGCACTCCCAGGCAGTGGCCGAGGGACGAAAGCACACATCCACACAGAACCTGCACACGTGTGCAGCAGTAACCGCCCAACCGTGGTGGGTCCGCCCACGAGTGGAGAGAATGAGAAATACCATGTGGATATGGTGCACTGGAATATCACTCAGCCCTGAAAAGGAGGGAAGCCCTGGCGCACACCAGCGTGGCTGGGCCCAAGGCGACAGTGTGATTCCCTCCATGTGACTGCCCGCACAGGCAGACCAGACCGCAGGCATCAGTGGTGCCTCTGGTTGGGGAGATGGGAACTAGGGGTCATGGCCAGTGGGGACAGCTTTGTTTTTGGCGTGATGAAAATATTCTCCAAGTACGTTTATACCCAAATCATTGGGCCCAGGTGGACTTCACGCCTGTAAGTCACACTCCGTTAGAAGCCAGGCGAATCCGCGCTCCGAGAGGTCTGGCAGTCGCGGCCCGAGGGGCCAGGCGGCCGGCTCTGCGTCCCGCCCGCGTGGGCTGGCTCTGCCAGCGTCCCGGCCCCCCCACCGCCTTCCTCAGCAGGGGCCGGCGTGGTGTGGGCGGTGCGCGCCCCGCTGGGCAGTGACTTCGTCCCCAGCCAGCCATGTGCTTGGGGCCTGTCCCCCCTTTTGCAGAGGGCCAGGCGGGGGCTACCCCATAACGCCGCGGGGCAACCCCGGGGCGCCTCCGGGCGCGCGCACCGCGGGCGCCCCGGCCC